AGGTGATGCTTGAGCTGAAGTCATATGTTATCAATGAACTGTTGTATGGAAAGTGAATTTGCTCTGTAAATTTTCACCCAAATCACAATTAAAAAAAAAAAAAAAAAAGACAAAGAAAAAACTATGAAACCTCTGGGAAATGGAGTCTGGGCAAGCTCTCTCCCCTCAAAAGTTATTAATTTATAAACTACTTCCATCCTAAACTAGATATCTCAGCATCACAGAGATGTATTCTTTAGAATTCACTTATAATACACAGCTTACGAAAGAAATATTAAAGGAGTTTGAAATTCAACAGGAATATCATAGTCAAGAGAGAGAAGAATTAAGGGAGGAAGCATCAGGCAAGACCACCTAAGGAAAAAGGTGAAGAGTAGGGAGACACCACCTCTGTCAAAAAAGGTCAAAGAAAAGCTTAAAATATAGAAGTGGTAGATATACCAGAGACTAATATATCTGAATCTTGGCTGAACCATTTAACAGCTGTATGCAAGATCCTTAATGGGAGGGAACATTTCTTTCCAAGTTCTCATGTTCCCATGCAGAGGGACCTTTGTCAGGGTAACACTTCTAGCCTCATGCCTTGACCTCTACTTTTTCCCAGGCAAGAGAAAGTGGTCATGCTCATCTTACCCTTACTCCTCCTTTTAGGATCTACCTGTCTCAGACAGTAGTTTGTGTCTTATCTTCTCTCTGCCATATAGAGAAGGCTGTAGCTGTCTGACTCTGCCGTTGACTATAAAGTATCAGTAGTAATAAAGGTGATATTATGCCCCTGACTCCTATCTTTCTCTTCCTTTCCTTCGATACCTTCTCTCACTTGGTTTCAAATGTGAGTTGGGAAGCAATATATTCCCTAATCCCTAACACTTAACCTCAGTGGTGCCTGGCATTTATTTTTATTCATTTGACACACATTTGTTAAGTTGGTACACAGTGCAGGTTCTGTGCTGGGCACTGGAGATCCACAAGTGACAAAGACAAATTTCCACTGTTGTTGTTGTTTGCCTTCGAGTCGGCCCGACTCATAGCGACCCCTCCTTGGGTTTCCGAGGCAGTATCACTACGGAAGTAGGATTGCCCAACCTTCCTTCCAAGGAGTGGCTGGTGGGTTTGAACCGCCAGCCTTCTGGTTAGCAGTCAAGTGCTTTAGCCACTATGCTACCAGAGCTCCACTGTAGTGAGGATGATTCTAAACACAAACAACTAAATTATTTCAGTTGCAACAGGAGATAAAAAGGAAATGAATGAAGGACTCTGACAGAGATGAGCAGAGTATGAGGAGATCTATTTCAGCTAGAATTACCATGGAAGACTTCTCTGAGGAAGTGGTGATATTGGTGCTGAGACTTGCATGCAGAAGGAGACATAGAAAAATTTTGGTGGGACACAAGAAAGAAGCTGGAGCATGCAGAGCATATAGACCATGTAAGGACTGAGGCTGTGGTAAAACAAGTTCCTTTATGTAGCCTTTTGCCTTGATTCTTTGGAAGAACAGCTTGAGAGATTTTCACTCTAAGTCCTGAGGAATTACCTTTGCCCTAGTTTTCTACCACACAGGGTTTATTACTTTTGTCCATGTTGACTGACATTTCTTGGGTAAACTGTAAACAACTTGATGGTGTCACACTTTTTGTCTGGCTCTGGGCTGCAGCTTGCCCTGTCATTGGTCTATTTTACACACTATGCAGGGATTGGTCAATATACTTATGCAAATGAAGTGACTACAGTCTACTGTGCAAATGAAGTGACTGTGGCCTATCAAAAGTGGATTGGTCATTTTGTGGCCCTGGTGAGATAGTTATGCCTTGAAACTGACCAAGAGTTTGTTTATATATGCAAACAACCCCACAGAGAAGGGCAGAGAGAAAAAGGAACAAGCAGAAAAGGGGCAAGAGAGAAAAAAGGAGAGAGAGAGGAAGTGAGGAGCTTCCTAAAGGAGCTATAACAGGAGTTGAGATTCATAACACTGAAGACTGTGAGAGGTCCTGAAGAGTCTCTGTGGCAGTCAGTGGTAACAGCAGAAACCTGTTGCTGGGAATGCAGCTAAGAGAGCTGAATAAAACTGCTACTCTGGCTATCAGCTGAGTCAATTAGCAGTGGAGAGGCCCATTCTGAGAGTAGGCACATCCTGAGGGGGCCAGGAAGAGACCTGCATAGCTGACAAGGGATGTGCATGGCATAGCTAAGGGTCTGTTTGCTTGCACTGCCAAGAAGTGCTGAGAGAGCTGTCCTGCGCTGAAGAAGGGAGACATGTGCTTTCCACTTCTGGGGAGCCTTCCAGACTTTGCCTACATGCTTCCTGATCCTGACCCTGAGTTGTACCGTTACTTCCTTAATAAACCACTTAACAGTAAGCATGATCTATAAATTCTGTGTGTCCACTGCAACGAATTATCAAACCCAGTAGAGAAGTAGAGTGGGAGGGACAGCTGGTGTTAGAATTGGTAAAAAGACTGGAAGTGGAGATACGTGTGACCTCCACCTCACAGGAGTCAGCTTTGTGTGGATACTGATTCTTTTCTCCTCTTCCTGAAGTTAGAGGACTTCAAGTGCTACTAGAACATTACAGTGGGTTTTAGATTCATTCACAATACACACATAAGGGGCTCAATAAATGTTAGTCCCTTTGTAACTTGCCTAACATCCAATCCAGTTTAAAACAAGATGTTCTGATTCTCCTGGTCTCTAGGACCTATGCCATTGGTCAAGACCACTGATCTCAAAATGGGGCTGCACTCTTGGAATAATAAACCGGGAGAACAGTTACTGTGGAGTTGATTCTGACTCATGGGAACACCATGTGTGTCAGAGGAGAATTGTGCTCCACGGGGATTCCAGTGGCTGATCTTCTAGGAGTAGATCTCCAGGCCCTTCTTCTCAAGTGCCTCTGGGTGGACTCAAACCTATGACTGTTCGGTTATTGGCAAAATGTGTCAACTATTTGTACAACCCAGGGACTCCTCTGTATAATAAGAAAACCCAGTGCTATCAAGTCAACTCTGACTTACAGCAATCCTAAAGGACAAAGCAGAACTGTCCCATAGGGTTTCCGAGGCTAAATCATTATGGAAGCAGACTGCTACATCTTTGTCCCATAGAGCAGGTGGTGTGTGCAAACCTCTGACCTTTCAGTGTGCAGATGAGCACTTTAACCACTGCACCACTAGGGCTCTCTTTCTCTGTACAATAAAACCTCTTAATTCTATTTTTGTGCTATTACTTATTCAATGCACTTAACAAATATTAAGTGCACATTTACTATTTGCCAGGTATGGTGCTAGGTGCTAAGGACACATCAAGGAACAAGAGATTAAAGGGAGACAATTAACAGTATATAAATTACACAGTATGTTAGAAAATGATGCAGGTTGTGGGGATTGGGATTCTGAGGAGAAAGTGAGGGTAGGAAACAGTTTTTAGGGTAAATATCATTGAGAAGATTAAGATTTGAACAAAGCCTTAAAGATGGCAAAAGAGTTGGCCAAGTAGAATCAAAGCACATTTCTGCTGCCTAGTTCCTAAGGAGTAAACAATCGTAGGGTGACTGAGGAGCCACAAAGAAGCCACTGTGGCTATAGTTGAAGGAGAAAGAGAGAGAATAGTAGGAAATGAGGTCACAGAGGGAGTGGGAGAGCAGATCCTGTGGGGCCTTGTAAACCATGATAAGAACTGTAGATTTTACTCTGAGTGAAGTGAGTGCCACTAGAGTGTTTGAGGAGAGATGTGATGTGACTGGCATACATTTTAGAAGGATCATTCCTTTTAAAAGGGGCAAGGGCAGACACAAAGAAACTACTGGAAAGGCTACGGCAATAATCCACATGAGAGAGAAATGTGGCTAGCACCAAGCTAGAAGCAGTGGAGGTGATAAGAAGGGGTTAGATTTTGCATGTATTTTGAAGATGGAGTTGATAGGATTTGTTGATGGATTCGATGTGGGGAATGAAAGACAGGAAGACATTCAGGCCAAGATGTTTGGCCTGAGGAACTAGAAGCATCAAGCTGCTGTTTACTAACAGGATAAAGACTGTAAGAGGAATAAGGTTGTGTAGGCATGTGTACACATGTAAGCACGAGTATGGGGAAAACCAGAAATTTGATTTATACAAGTTAATCTTTGAAAGACCTACTAGACATCCAAATGGACATGTTGAGCAGGCAATTTAATATAAAAATCTGGAGTTCATGTGAGAAGTCCTGGCTGGAAATATAACTTTGGGAGTTGCTGGTTGAGGATGGTATTTAAACTCATGGTATGGATGGGATCACCTTGAAAATGAGTATACCGCCCCCCCCCAAAAAAAAACTGAGTAGGAGAAGAACAAAAGATGATTGAATTTGACCAAGTAAAAGTCATTTACAAAAGCAATTTCCATGGGTGGTGGTGAGGAGCAAGAGCTCAGTCAGGTGGTTTAAAAGAGAACATCTTTATGACCTTGGGAGAAGGATGCAAAATTTTCTTTGAACACAAAAGGTACCAATTTATGAAAGAAAATATTAAATAATAGGACTGCATCCTAATTAAAAACCTCTGCTCATCAAAAGCACCAATAAAGGAA